AAGAAGTAGAATTAAATAAAATTTGAAGTGGAACTGAATAGCTGAAGTTGAACTAAATACAAATATGTTACTTTTATCCCAGGTCCCTAATGAGCTGTTCATTAGGAAAAATATCTTATATTGACAGTGAATGCAAAGTGTGAACTCAAAAATGTCTCCATGCAAAAGGTGTACTTTGGAATGGGGACTTTGCTTCCCTCCAATTTCAAGAAATCTCTAAAACAGTCTATATCACAATCTAAATGAAAGTTAGTAACATTGTTTTTATTTATTATGAGAATATCTGAATATCTGTTTTAGAATTTTTTTTTTAAATTAAAAATGAGGTTTTTGAGGAGGGATATAAACTGCTATGTCTGCAAGTGTGAAGCTTCTTAAACTCCCTGCACTAGTCTTCCCAATCTTCTACTTAATTTTTTTTTCTTTTTTGTTTTTGTTGGGTTTTTTGTCCTTTTTTTTTTTTTTTTTTTTTTTTTTTTTTTTTTTAAAAAATTTTTTTTCAGGTTTTTTTTTTTTTTTGTTTTTTTTTTTTTTTTTTTTTTTTTTTTTTTTTTTTTTTTTTGTCAGAAGATTACTTTGCAGGCTCTTTTCATAGTTAATATTTTGGATACCTGGGCTGTGGCATTGCATGAGTGAGTACAGGACTCCTGACAGAGAGAATAGTTAACACATTCCCTTTCCAAATCCTTTACTTTTGAGCATGTCCTCCACCATTTCCCAGGGACTTCAGGAGGTAGATCTCTTTTCACAAAACCAGTGGTGCCGTAATTAATTATTCTTTCAGCAGATTAAACCTCCCACCTTATTATTAGGTTTGTTTTCTTTAATATTTCTTTTTTTTTTTTTAATTATTTGGTCTGGCTGCTTCTCCCCTCCTGTGGGACATATGGAATTGCCTTGTTGTTTTTATTCTTTCTTTTCCCCCTTTGGTATAGACAGATAAAGAAAGATTTCTTTTCTGTTTGTGCAGAGGTGGAGGCTAATTGCTGGGTTAATTGAGAAGAATGGTGCTTCTGATGTTCTCACAAAGTATCAAATAGCCTCAACATATTTCTCCCCTCTCTCCCTCACTCCACCTAAAGAGACCCATTGAATTTGCACATTACTGTACAGAAGTGATTATGGGCTTAATTGTATTTATTTTGCTTGGTGGGGAGGCCATCATAACAGTGGTTGATTGATTTTTATAAAATCACCCTCAAGGTCATGTGTAGGACTTTGCTTTCCTGTGCAGCCATAACAAACAATTTGAGGGTCACAGCCAAAGGCTCCGTTGAGCAATATTCCTGCATTCTGCTTTCAGGGAAGGGGTCAAGTGCAATAAAAGAAGGAAGCACAACTTTTATTTTCTTTTTAAAAAAAGGAGAAGACAGCCTTGTAAAGCAGCAGCTGTATATTTATTCTGACCCAACAGAAAACACAGAGGTGTAGAGGGACAATATGCAATTTTTGGACAGAAGAATCTGTAAGTTTAGCCAGAGTTTGTTTTACACATAGACTTGATAAATGGTTTAATGAGTCCTTCCTTATGATTTCTTTTCTGTTCTGTGGTGCTGCTCTTCTTTCATCCTCAGCAGTTGAACTTTACTTTTCCACTATATTTTCTCCCAAAGACCGAGCACCATTTGGATTTGTCCTGGGAGGTTTTCAGAAGCTTTGAAAAGATCCAGGGGACAACAGCATTGTGGAGTGACCATGAGTGAAGCTGATCTGCCCCTTCTCCAGGACTAAATTTTGTGTCTGACTGCTGCTTCTAAGGGAAAACAAAAGAGTCACATACAGCAAGTCTCAAAATCATAGACAGGTTTGGTTGGAAGGAACTTTAAAAACCATCTTGTTCCAACCCCCCTGCTTGGACAGGACACCTTAGGCTACACCAGGTTGCTTAAAGCCCCATCCCAGCTGGCCTTGAACACTGCCAGGGATGGGGCAGCCACAGCTTCCCAGGGTAACCTGTTCTAATTCCTCACCACTCTCACAGGGAAGAATTTCTTCCTAAAATAAGAGCTTCTGGTGTTCAAGCTGCACTAGGGAAGGTTTAAATTGGATATTAGGAAGAATTTCAGAGGGCCAAGAGTGCAACAGACTGTGGGCAGTGGCTGACTCACCATCCCTGGAGGTGTTCAAAAAATGCATGGACCTGATGCTTGGAGACATGGTGTAGTGGTGGAGTTGGCAGTGCTGAGTTAATGGCTGGGCTCTGTGATCTTAAAGGCCTTTTTCAACCTCAGTGACTCTGATTTTCCTCTGGAAGGGTCAAACTTGCAGGCCAGGTGTGCACAGCTCCTGCTGGAATCCCTGCTGCTCCTGGGATGAGGTGGGAATATTGCTCCTACTTGCACCCAGAGCAGTCAGCAGCATCCAGACTTCTCAGACACTCAGAAATCCACAAAAGATATGGAAAATCTTCAATCAACAGTTTGAAAATTTTGAGTGGGTAATATGTGACTGAAACTTGGGAAAACTTGTTTGAGGCAGAATTGTGATTTTGCAATCAAAGGATAGGACAACTGTCTACCAGCCCTCCTGGTTCAGTGGTACAGCATGGCAGCAATTAAAATACTCATTAAAAATTGTATGAGAAGAAGAGGAAACAGAAATTACTGTATTTCACTGAGAATAGAGCATAGTAAGTCAATAAAGACCTTAGGGAAGATGTCTTTTTTATGTTAGGAGTGAAATAAATCACAGTGATTTACAGTTCCATTTATAGATTGTGGTGATAAAATTATTAACACTGCTGCTATAAAGCAAAAGTATTTAATAAATATTTCTGTTCTCAGCATGGGAAGAAACAGGATGGTAAATTATATCACAAGAGGAAGATGGACCAGCAGTCCATTTATTGCCAAATAATGCTAATAGAATGAAAACATTAAATATTCTTTTAGAATACACATGCTTAAAATCAACAGGTCCAGTCTCAGTCAAGAGATTTAAAACTGCTGCTGGAGTCAGATATCTTGTGTTGTTTTACATGAAACAATCTGAAATTTTTTCTGGTTTTTCACAATCCATGCAGTACAATTTGCAAAGACTCTGTATGAAGGCTCAGCACATTTGTAGGTAGAAAAGAATGTCTAGGGAAAAAGACAATTTACACATAGAAGAGTTGCTGTTTTTGAGAGCAAACCTGTGGTTCCCAGTGGTTATATGCAAGAAAATGTGAGATTTATCTCTTCCTTCAATTAAGCATATTCTGTAAAAAATTATGTAAAAAATTGTAGAAAGCAATGAAATCAGGCAAGAATACATTTAATAAATAGTCCCTATTCAAATACTATTTTTATAAGCCTAAGAAATGAGGACTAAGTTATAAGACTTTGTTATAAACTCAAGAAATCAATGAAACAAGGAAAACCCCTCCATGTGACAATAAAAAAGGAAATCAGGATAAGCAGAATATGAACAATGGTGAACAATGATCAAGATAGTACTTAATATGTTTTTATATTAGAAATTGTTTTTTTTTTTTTTTTTTTTTTTTTTTTTTTTTTTTTTTTTTTTTGTCTAAATACTGCAGTTAATCCAGATTCCTGGTCTCCCTTCCTCTTGCTAAGAATTGGTAGTGTTATCATGGAATGGTTTGGGTTGGAAGGAACCTTAAAAATCATCTGATGATCTGGTTCCACCCCCTGCCACGGGCACAGACACTTTCCACTATCCCAGGTTGCTCCATCCAGCCTGATCTTTAGCACTTCCAGAGTTGGGCAGCCACAGCTTTTCTGGGCAACTTGTGCCAGGGCCTCCCCACCCTCACAGGGAAGAATTTGTGAGGCAGGAGAGCCAGCTGGGTGGTTGATAGATCAAAAACTGCTTCCACCAGCAGCAAACTGGCTGTGGGATGAGCTGGTACAGTTGTCAGCTACTTCACACAAAGGGAGCAGGGTACAGCCTTTGGAAGTGGTGTGTATCTTCCACACTTTGGGAATTTCCCTACTCTCTCCTGGGAAACACAGCCTGATCTAGGAAGGCATATCCCATGTGCAGTGTGACAAAATGGATGAGAGTCCACTCTGTCCACGTGCATTGTACAGGAAGTGACAGCATCCATCACAGGAGGGGAAATATGAAAGGAGATCATGGAATAAACCATCCTGAGGTGACAGATTGGGATTTTCAGTTCATGAGAGGCAAGAACAAGGGAGGAATTTGACAGAACTGAAGAGCTTGAGTCAAAAAAAATAAGGGATGGAAATGGTTTTTCATGCACTATGCATTTAACCCACATAATTCATTGCTTCAAGAAGTCGTTGAGACCAAATATCACAAAGATTCCAAAGACCAGTTCTTTATTACTTGCAAATCTTATCCAGTTATACTAATAGTCAGTAGGAGGAAAATGTTGGCAAGGAGTTGAAACCTTATGCTTTGAGGTGAAGCTAACCTCTAATTAGGGATTAAAATGAGATTTTTATGGGATGGGGAGATCAACCCACAGCCAGCTAAGAGGGAGACGTGTCTCACACTGTATTTGGAAGCATCTGGTTTTGAACAGCAGCTGGAGGAGTTTGCAGGATTAAATCAACCACTGATCTAAACAAGTTGCCAGTTCTTATGTTCCAAAGCAGTTTTCCTCTCTCCTCTCCCAGTCACAAGTAGTTTGTAATCTAAAAAGTAACATAATACAAATTAGGTAGGAATATTCCTTTTCAACATTAAGTGACTTAGTTGGTTAAAATTGGGTTTTTCCAAACACAGCTTCCTTTAACTGTGGCTGGAGAGTCTGCCCAGGCTGACTGGCCTTGCTCAAGTCCAGAAATGCAGACTGTTGATGAATCAAAAAATTTACTGGATTAATCGGGTCCTTAAAAGGTTGTTAAATCCATAGGGAGAAATAAAGAACAAGGTGGAAATTTCACAGAATGCAATAGCATTTTAGCTTTATTTTGTAATTTTACTGCAAACCCCTTTGTTTACCTATCTCTTCCAGTTCCTTTGGCTGTGAGAGAGTGACTGACTGAATATATGATTGTATTTTCTTCTTCTCTTGTCTTCAGGTGGCAAACTCCTGTTTACTGGGCCAGGACCTGTAGAACTGCATGCTCATTACATCCTGGTGTCTGATGGAGGAGAGCTCCAAGTGGGATCCCCTGAGGCCCCTTTCCATCACAAAGCACATATCTATCTCTATGGAAGCCTCCACTCTCCACCATTATTTCCATATGGAGTCAAATTCCTGGCAGTGAGGAATGGGACCCTTTCCATTCATGGTGAGTACATTTCTTTTGTTGTCAAAAACAAAGGGCAAATGAATAACAGAAAATAAAACAAAGAAAACACAAAAAAAATGGGTTTGGAAGAAAAAAAAATTGACAAAACTTTGGTCATGATTCTCATGGAATCATGAAATTGGTTGGGTTGGAAGAGACCCTAAATACCATCTAGTTCCAGCAGCCATTCCTTGGACAGGGACACCTTCCACTATCCCAGGTTGCTCCAAGCCCTGTCCACCCTGGCCTTGGACACTTCCAAGGATGCAGGTGCAGCCACAGCTTCTCTGGGCACCCTGTGCCAGGCCCTCACCACCCTCACATCCAAGAATTCCTTCCCAAATTCCCATTTATCTCTGCCTGCTGGCAGTGGGAAGCCATTCTCTGTGTCCTGTCCCTCCATCCCTTGTCCCAAGTCCCTCTCCAGCTCTCCTGGAGCCCCTTTAGGCTCTGGAAGGGCTCTGAGGTCTCCCTGGGTCATTCTCTTCTCCAGAAGAACACCCTCAGCTCTCCCAGTCTGGCTCCAGAGCAGAGGGGCTCCAGCCCTTGGAACATCTTCTGGACCCATTCCAACAACTCCACACCATTCTTATATTGTGGCATAGAAGAATGTAGATGTGGAGCTTTTCTTGAAGACTATGAAATATGGGTATAAAATGGCCATTTCTTGATGTAGGAGTTTGGACATGGAATTCACGTCCAAACTCGTCATGATTCAGAACATTGCTGCACATTTCTCAAGTTCTTCTCTACTGGCTATTTTTAAAAGCTCTACGTCTCATAGAGGAGGAGGATGAAAAAGAAGAAAAAGAAAAAACATCTGAATGTCTCATCCCCCTTTCTCCTGTTCTTGTGTGTCAATCTTCCTTTTGGTGGGTGTTCACACCCTCCAGCAGGTCTTGAACTTCCACCCTGTGCCCTACAGGAGGAAATGTTGCTGTCTCTGCAGAGATGTGGCTTTTTGACAAAAATGATGTCAGGCACTGAGGGTACCATTTGAGCACAGGCAGGGAGTGAGTTGTGCCTCTGTGCCATCATCCTGCCAGCTCATGGGAGCTGAGCAAGGCTGGGAGAGGTTGGGTTTGGAGGGGAGTCAGTGAGCAGATGCTTTTCTGAATCGGAGAGATGAGCAGGGGCTGAGGAAGGAGCTCCTGGCAGGGCAGGAGAGGTGGGGCTGCACCTCAGCACCATGTCAGGTGCTCTTGATCCTTCCTTGAGACACAGCAAGGCTCAATTATTTACTGCCTGTAAAAAGCATCAACAATTTCAGTGAAGTGGCTTTGCAGAGCGTTTCTGCCCCATTTCCTGGAGGGTCTCTGTGAAGGAGGGCTATTAGAGCATCTTGGCTGAATTCACTGTCCATTGAGTTTCACACAGTTATCCCAGCCCTGAGCTCAGTAACTCCCGTTAGATTAAAGCTTGCCTTCCAGAAAGGCTTGGTCTTTGAGGATGGCAAGGGAGACAGAAACCAGCTTCTTCCTTTGAGGCTTTTTCCAGGGGATTAATTTGGTTAATCATCCATTTTTTCCCCCCCTTTTTAAAGAAAAGTATTGAGATTTGAATTTGCCTCATAGCAGCTTTTGCTGCTTCACTTTCTGTGTCTTCTGCCTCCTTAAAGTGTCCTTCTATTCTTGGTTTGACCCCTGTAAGCCAGGATTTTGTCCTTAGATTGTCAGCAATTTACAGCATGAGCCTTCACTTTTTGTTTTCTAGCAAAAAAGCCAGTAGCAACTCTTGGCAGCTGTGCCTCCTGTGCTGCTTCTGCTTTCTATTCCAAGCCTGTATCAACTCTGCCTTGGTGACTCCATCACCCACAAAATTGAAGACAAACAGGGCAGAGCACATTTTGCAGTCTTACCTTGACAATGTGATGGAGGGAGGTAAACCCAGGCATGCACATCCGTATCTTTGAGTCTTTTCTCAATGATAATTTATCCATTTTACTCAGTGCCATTATTCTCAGTGAACCTTCATTCCCTAGGAAAAAAGGAGGACGAGGTCTGCAATCCAAGCATTACCTGGATGGAGACATACGGAGTCAAAAGTGGCTTGACCCTTAGTGGAAAAAACTCTTGGTTTCAATTTTTCATAAATTATTGGATTATTGAAAGTCTTGTGTGGTTAGGGATGTTAAAGATCATCTAGTCCACCCTCATTTCATGGGCAGGGATGCCTTCCACTATCCTAGGTTTCTTGGGGTCCCATCCAAACTGTCCTTGGACAATTCCAGGGATCCAGGAGCAGCCGCAGTTCTCTGGGCATCCTGTGCCAGGGCGTCCCAACCCTCACAGCGAAGAAATTCTTCCCAATATCCCATCTAACTCTCCCCTCGGGCAGTTTGAAACCATTTCCCTGTGTTCTGTCCCTCCATTCCTTGTCTCAAGTCCTTCTCCAGCTCTCCTGGAGCCCCTTTAGGCACTGGAAGGGGCTCTGAGCTCTCCCTAATCTTTCTCTTCTTCAGGCTGATCAACGCTAACTCTTATTCTATTATTATTATTCAAAATCAATTCTTATTCAAGAAATCATATTAATTTCTTATTCAACATATCCGGAGTAGCTATGAAGTCACTTTTAAGCTCTGCACAACACGCAGCCCCAGTGCATGGCTGCAATTATTGCTCTTTCAAACCATGTAATCTGCAATTTAACATGGAAGCAGTAGAAGCCTGCTAGAAAACATGACAGAAAATAGTGGGGTCTTTTACTGGGTTCATATTGCTTACACAGAAAAAAAAAATCTGCTGTTCTGTCTTTAATTTAGCATCAGTCTGGTCTGTGGTATAGAACAAATTGTGGAGCATGACAGCCCCTTTCATATATATATATATATATATATATGTATGAAAGAAGCTGACATGCTCTGCAATACACATTTATGAGATACATTTATACACACAAATATATATGTTATCTCAGATCAAAATCATTAAATAAGCAGGTTTCCAAATTCTCGGCTGTCTTGGCAAAGACAGGACTGAGTGCATTTTAATTCCTTTTCTCTTTCAGGCTGGGAATGTTGGGGGATGATGCTCTGCAGCTCTGGTTGAGTTCAGATTGTTTAGTAAGCGCTGTCAGCTCCTCACTTTGATATGTTAATATGACTAAGGGTTTCCCACAATTCCCTTATGAGTGGCAGTCCTTTGCTCCAGTAGTTGTAGCAGACTGGGAAATTTCACTGTTGCCTTTGGCTTTAGCCAACTCCCCTGCCAGTCAGAGCGTGCCACCCATAAACTGCCTGTCAATCACCCGTCACTTTGAGAGGGGGCTTCAGCCAGCCAGGGCAACTCGACTTTTTGACAATGTAATTATGGCCCTTGCATCCGCAGTAGGGGCCTGAGCGGGGCTGAGAGAGTTTTATTGATTGTTCAGAAGGGAAATTTATCACTGTCTCCAGCTCCATTCCTGCTCTATTCCCTGAGAAACTCTCCTGACAAGCTTCGGGAGAGAAGTTCAGCGTGGTGGCCTTGGCTGTTCTTGTGCCTTTGTCCTTCCCAGGGAAACTGGAGACACCAGTGGACGCTGAGTGGGGGCAGGAGCTGGGTGCAGAGTGGAGGTGCTGCATCAGGACAAAGAACACCCAACCTGTCCTTGTGACAGCCTGGTCTTGTCGTCCTAACCCTTATCACAGAATCCCAGAATGGTTTGGGTTGGAAGAGGCCTTGAAGACCAGTTCCACCCCCAGCCATGGGCAGGGACACCTTCCACTGTCCCAGGTTGCTCCAAGCCCCATCCAACTTGGCCTTGGACACTTCCAGGTATCCAGGGGCAGCCACAGCTTCTCTGGGCACCCTGTGCCAGGGCCTCACCACCCTCACAGGGAAGATTTTCTTCCCAATATTCCATCTAAACCCACCCTCCTTCAGCTTAAGACCATTTATTCTTGTCCTGTCCTTCCAGGCCCTTGTTTAAAGTCTCTCTCCAGCTCTCCTGGAGTCCCTTTAGACATGGGAAGGGGCTCTGAGTTCTCCCTGGAGCCTTCTCTTCTCCAGGTGAACACCCCCAGCTCCCCCAGCCTGGCTCCAGAGCAGAGATATTGCCACATACTGAAAAATTTTAAAGATCTTCTTTGTTTTCAGCAATCCTGTGAAGGTGATCTTGTTATTCCATTGTGTCCCCATGAAACAGGTTGTGAGTCTTTCCAAAAAAAGACCAGCATTCCTTTGCCAGGCATTTATCTAAAACTTTGTGTCAGCACTCTGGTGGGAAAGAATATGAGCTGTGAGCAACCTATTCTAGTGGAAGGTGTTCCTCCTGTGTCAGTGGGTTGGAAGTGGATGATCTTTAAGGTTTCTTCCAGCACAAAACTCCCTGTGATTCTGTGATTCCATGAGCCTGTTCCCTGAATTTTGACTAATAATATGTATCCCTTTAGTTAGATGAAAAATGTTACACTTCAGATTAAAAACATTTGCATTCACCTTGTCCAAACTATGAAAGGTATGTGATAAAGAAAAAAAGGATGTCCTGAGAGTTTTGGTTTAATAACTTATTTATAATCAGGATACTTTAAACAGAGGTGTCAGTAGTCACTTCAGTGCTCTAAAATCATGGCCAGTCCTACTGTAAAGAATGTCCCTGCATTTGCAATGGTGAAAATTATATTTTAGAGGTAAATCTGCATGACTTCCATCCCAGATTTCTCTGCAGCCAAAGCCCTCTCATACTTTTTCAGGGTTATCTCAGGGAAAAAAAAAAAAAAAAAAAAATTATCAGGCGAACCAATTATTAATTTTAATTGCTTTTAATCAATAATAAAACACAAAATATTTGTGAGCTGCTCACTGTGCTCTACACTGCCTGTGCATTCCTCCAGAGATCAAACATTTAATCAAATGCCTCTTGCTTTGCCTCCATTAAGCAGTGTTATGTATCTGTGCTGAGTTTGAGATTAAGAGATCATAGACAACATGAGAGAATTTGTTCTGCTTTACTCACATGTTAAAAAGAAAAGCTTCCCAGGGGAAAAATATAGGAGGAAAAAATCTGTAGCAGGGGGATTC